TTATGGATAAAAGAAATGCAGATAGAGAGAAATAGCTATTCCCTCTGCAACTCCCCTTACCTCCCTTCAATATGGCCAGAAGCCCAATTGGTTACAAGGGAAAGGCAAATAGCAAAGCAACAGAAAGAAATGCTGTTGGCCAAAACGTTACTACAGTAATGAACAAAACATCATCAAAACACTAGTAACTTTAAGGAAAACTATACTGAAGATTTAATTTATTTATGGCCATAACTAAAGAAATTTTTATAAGAACAACTATCAATGGTGCAGTGTGGAAGAAGAGAGTGTTTAAAAAAGGACAAGGATTATTTCTTTCGATTGGAAGTTGATAACTTTGGGCTTATATGGCTTCTAGTCCAGGTTTTGCAGTTACCTCTCTATGTGACTGACAGAGTTTGCATATATGCCCCTGCCAAATTTCATACTCAATTTTAATCTTCAACATTGGAAGTGTGGCCTGGTGGGAAGTGTTTGGGTCACAGGGGCAGAGCCCTCATGGCTTAGTGCTGTCCTCACAACAGTGAGTGAGTTCTCATGAGATCTGTTTGTTTAAAAGTATATGGCAAACCTCCACCCCTTCTTGTTCCCACTCTCTCCATGTAAGAAACCTGCTACACCTTCACTTTCCACCATGACTGTAAGCTTCCTGAGGTACTCAATAGAAGCAGATGTGGCACCACACTTCCTGTGAAGCCTGCAGAATCATGAGCCAATTAAACCTCTTTTCTTTAAAAATTACCCAGTTTCAGTTATGCCTTTATAGCAATAACAGCAATACAAGATTGGCCTAACACAGTGATAGTCCTTGAGAAACTTCTCTGTGGCTCCTAATGTCCCTATCTCTAAAGAGAGGGAGAAGAGGCCAGGCATGGTGGCTCATGCCTGTAATCCCAGCACTTTGGAAGGCCAAGGCAGGTGCATCACCTGAGGTCAGAAGTTCAAGACCAGCCTGGCCAACGTGGTGAAACCCCATCTCTATTAAAAATACAAAAATTAGCTGGGTGTGGTTGTGGGCGCTTGTTTTCCCAGCTACTTGGGAGGCTGAGGCAGAAGAATCACTGGAACCCAGGAGGTAGAGGCTGCAATGGCACCATTGCACTCCAGCCTGGGCAACAGGAACAAAAACTCCATCTCAAAAAAACCAGAGAGAGAGAGAGAGAGAGAGAGAGATTGAGAATCTTCAGTTTTGAACATTTATAATTAAAGGGAAATAATTAAACATGTCAATATCCACCTCATTAGATGACCTTTAGGGCTATGTTCATTCAATAATTCAATGATTCCAGATGTAAAAGAATATGCAGCATATGCAGTTCAATTTATGAGAATTGATGCCATGTGAAGAAAGCAGAGTTTTTCATTTGGTTAAAAGCAGACATAAAAATTTGTTCTCTTACCATTCCCCCTCTTTGGAATTTTTATTATACTTTCAGTTTTAAAGAACTGATTTTGTTTAATGGTCTGCAATGGACAAAACAAAAATACCTTGTGCTTTTAATGGTCCATATTGTCAGTATATCTGCGTCACCAAATTACAGAATTATCTGACTCATCGGGACAAAAACAACATATTATCCTCTAGACAGCAAATTGAAAAAAGCAATTTTCTCATCTCTGAGAAAGATAATTGATCTGATTTTGCTGTCAATGTTACCATCATTCACGCTATTACTCAGACTTGAAAACTCGAAATTATTTTTTATTCTCCCTACCTCTCATCACCCACACAGACTCACCAAGTCATAATGAGTTGATTTCCTTTAATAATGTCTCTTACGTCAATCTCCTCTGCTCCCACCTAAGTTCAAGTCCCTATTATCTCTCAGACCTAGTTGACTACAATATTCTCTTTTCCCCGTAATGACTTGTACAGATTTTCTTTTATTATAAAAGTAGTACATGCCCAGTATAGGCAATCTGAAAAATTCAGAGAGGTAGACAGAGAATAATATCAGTTACCCACAATCCCTTTGCCTAGAAATAATCATTCATTTGGACCCATTTCCTTCCCCTCATTCTATGTATATATTAATGCATTTTCAACAAAAATTATGATTATAAAATGCTACATGTTTATGGTCTGTTTCTTATTCTTGTATCTTGAGTATTTTTTATAACATTAAATGCTTTGAAAACTTAATTTTTATTTGTTTAAACTAACTCTTGATTGTTGATGTTTCATTGGTTTCAAATTTTTCATGTTAAAAGCAAATGCTGCATTGACCACTCCCGTGCCATTGTTGGATTATTTCCTCAAAATTGGTTCCTAAAAATATAATCATAGACTTAAAGTTTCTTGTTACATTTTACCAGGTTGCCTTCCAGAAAGGATATATATCATTTTACAGGCCCACAAGCAGTGCATGAAAAGTGCCATTAATATACACAAGACATGACAGTATCTTCCCATTTAAAGCTATTTATAGTATGACCCCAAATCTTTTTCTCAGAAATCCCCTATCCCAACCCTCTACTTCTGTCATACAGACATCCCAGAAGATGGTGAGGTTCTTCAGGACAAGCATTCTATCTTACAAGAGGCAGCATAGCAGAAAGAGTAAGAGAAGTCTGGCATAAGACAGCCCTGGGTCAAATTCTACCTTTCCACCACGAGCTGTGTGACTGCAGCTAAATTGCCTAACCTCACTGGGGCTCCATTTCCTCATCTGTAAAATAATAACATGTTCTCCAGAGGGTGGTTATGTGGATTCAATAAGGTTATATAGGCAAAGCACTTAATATATTGTCTGGCACACAGCAGACTTTCAATAACGGTTAAAGTTGTTAGAGTACTTGTACAATTCCCAGCCTCCAGCATCTATCACAGCTGGTGAAATGAAGGAAGAGATGGGGGTAAATATCTTTATCAGTGATTTTCAAAGTGTGATCCATAGCCTCTCTTAGCAGGACAGAGATAATCTATGGGCTCCTGTTAAATATGCAGAGTCCTAGACCTCATCTCTGACCTGCCAAATCAGGATTTCTGGAGGGAACGCTCAGAAATCTATATTTCTTATAAGCACTCCAGTTGATTGTGACTCAACTAAAGTTGGAGAACTATAGTTATCATACTCGCTCCAGATACAGCATACAATTTCCTCATCAGGTATCTAACTTCTGGCTCTACATGCCCTGACTCCCAGGGTCTGGCAGAGTTATCTACTATCTGTGAAGATGATCTGGTGAAAAAGTGATCCAAATGAATCCTCCTCTGATAGCATATCTGCCTCTATGCCTTCCCTCCCTAACCAAATACCATCACTGCTATTGAGAATCACCCATTATTACAATAATTATTTGGGGATTAAAGACAAAAATAAATTATTATCAATAGTAATGTTAATCACTAACACTTATTAAGCACTTACAATGTGCCAGGTATGTTAAGCAGTTTCCATTCAATTAATTGTTGGGTATTTAATTTAACCCACATAACCCTATGAGGCAGGTGCTATTGTTACCTCCATTTTACTAATGAAAAAATTGAGTCACAGAGAAACTAAGGAAATTAGCCAAGGTCAAAAAGATGGTAAATGACACAGCAGAGATATGAATCCAGACAATCTGACTCCAGAAATCAGGCTATTATCTACCATGCAGTACTACTTCCCTAAATTAACTGCCCTATGCCTGTTATTATTCGTTTAAGATATACACAATGATAATAATATTTATTTCATTTAGTGTCTTTATTATTTCAGTAGGGTGGATGTATTATCATAGAAACCTCCAACCCTTTTATTCCCATAATGTCTTAGGTTTTTCTAGCCACAAATTCTAGCATGAGAGTCTGCAGGAAACCAACTGTGCGGGGTAGCGCTGCTCCACTTCCATGTCTTGGAGTCCTGCTTTCCAAGAAACAACATGAACACAACGCATTTCAATTGCTTACCATATGTTTCTATTTCTCCATATCAAGTTTTATAAATTATCCAAGAGTCAGAAGGCCTGCCCATTAGGCTAGCTTCATAAAGGAGGCCCCTCCGCCTGCATGTTTTGATAAAATATATCCCCTAACCCAGAGAGCGAATGGAGCCGAGTCATGTGAGATGAACAAAGAATTCTGAAGATGTCTTGACTGGTATGCTTGGACTGATTTTAAATCAGATCTTCTTCAAATTTTTAAAAAATAAATTATACTTTATAAGAACTAATTTCAAAATGAAATTCTGATACATGCTACATGAATGAACCTTTAAAACATTATGATAAATAAAATAAGCCAGACACAAAATGACAAATACTGTATGATTTCATATACAGGAGGTACCTAGAATATTCAATTCATAGAGACAGAAAGTAGAACAGAGGCTACCAGGGGTGGGAGGAATGAGGGGTTGGGGAATTATTGTTCAACAGGCACAGTTTCCATTTGGGATGATGAAAAACTTCTGGAAAGAGATAGTGGTGATGGTTGCACAACTTATAATGACACTGAATTGTATACTCTTTTTTTTTTTTTTTTTTAATGGAATCTCGCTCTGTCACCCAGGTTGGAATGCAGTGGCATGATCATGGCTCACTGCAACCTCAAACTCCTGGGCTCAAGGGATCCTCCCCCACCTCAATCTCCTGTGTGCCTGGGACTACAGGTACATGCCACTGCACCCGGCTAATTTTTATATATTTTGTAGAAACAGGGTCTTGCAAAAAATATATACTTTTTTTATATATACATATTTTTATGTATATATATTAATACATAAAAATATATAAATATATATATTATATATAATATAAAAATATATATATATCAATTAGCTGGGTGCAGTGGTCTCACGTCCAGGCTGGTCTCAAACTGCTGGGCTCAAGTGATCTTCCTGCCTCAACCTCCCAAAGTGTTGGGATTACAGGTGTGAGCCACCACCCCCAGCCTGAACTGTATATTTAAAAATGCTTAAAATGGTAAATCTTATGTTATGGATACTTTACCACAATTTTTAAAAATCCTATAGCTTTAAAAAAAAAATTTCAAGCCCCACAAAATCTGTTCTTACCAGAGTATCATCATTCTGGTCTCCAAACATTTCTTTAAAAATCTTGCCAGGATCAGGAATTGGAGGGAATATAATGATCTTGAGCCTTAAGAAAACAGAGATATTTTGATTCAAACCTTCCAGTCCAAAGGAGGGTCCCACATAAATACCATATTATTTAATATTTAATAAATATTAAAAGAGGGCATGGACAAAAGACATGGTATGCAAGTCATCTTTATTAACAAGGCAGTTGTAAAGAAATTTCTAAAATAGGGTACAAGAAAATCAATATTCTAAGGGCATTCAGTTCCATTCTTGCCCATAGGTGGAGCACAGGGACCATCAGGATAAGTGAATCACTTATACCCTATCATTTAAATCAGGCGTCTCCAAACTACGCCCACAGGCCCGCATGCAGCCCCCCCCAGGCCATTTATCCGGCCCCCCACCGCACTTCAGGAAGCGGCACCTCTTTCATTGGTGGTCAGTGAGAGGAGCACAGTATGTGGCGGCCCTCCAGCGGTCTGAGGGAGAGTGAACTGGCCCCCTGTGTAAAAAGTTTGGGGACGCCTGATCTAAATGATAATGCTGCTCTACTTTTAATAGACCAAATAGGCGCTTGTTTATAATTTTGAAAAAAAAAAAATCTGAGAACAGAATACATTCCTCTTTTTCTTTTTCTTCTTATGTATCTCCATTTTTCAATTTTATAGCATCCTTTGGTGGGCTTGCCTCTATCTCCTAGGGTGTGTCCATGGATGTGCCCCAGGATTGTCTTTTGCCTTCTTGTCTATCTTACTCACTTTATGAGCATTCCCTTTGGTCTTAGGGCTTTAAATCCATTCACATGCGGAGGATTCCCAAAATTAGATCTCCAGCCCAGACCTCTCCCTTCAATTCCAGATTCATGCACTCAATCGCTTATTTCACATCTTTATTTGGACATCAAATAAGCCTATCAAACTTAACATGTGCAAAACTGAAGTCCTTATCTTTCCCTCAAAACCAGCTTTCCTCAGTCTTCTCTGTCCCAGTAAATGGCACCAGCATTCACTCAGTTGCTCAAGCCAAAAATCTAAGAGTTATCTTTGAATCCTCAATTACTCTCATACCTCCACAGACAGCTACCAGCAAATCCTACAAATTCTACTCTCAAAACATATACTATTTCTCACCACTTCTTGCTATCTTCATTGCTAACCAGTACAGGTTATCCTCATCTTTCTGCCAAAACACTGCAATGCCTCCAACCTAGTTCATCTGCTTCCACTTTTGCCCAAGTCAGTTCTTCACTCAGCAACTACAATGATCTTTCATGACAATAACTCAGATCAGGTACCTGCTCTGCTCAGAACTCTCAATGCTCCTCATCATGCTTAGAATAAAATCTCAGGTCCTTGCCATGCCCTGCATGATCTGGTTGGCCAACTTCTCTGTCCTCACCTGCTGCCACTTTCCACCTTACACTCTCCACTCCAGCCAAACAAACCAAGTGCATTTCAGCTTTGGGGCCTTTCTATTTGCTGTTCCCTTGGTCTGGAATGCTCTTTCCTCAAATATTCGAATGACTCACTTCTTTATTTTATTGAGAGTCTCTCCTGAAATGTCATTTTCCCAGAGAGGAGTCCTCTGGCCATCCTATGTAAAATGAACCTCCTATCACTTCCTAGCCACACCCTGCTACTGTCAATTATACTTCTCACTATGTGAAATCATAGTATTTATTATTGTGTGTGTGTGTGTGTGTGTGTGTGTGTGTGTGCGCGTGTGCGTGCATGTTGTGTATCTTTCTGTCTAGAATGTAGATGAGGACTTTTTGTCCTGTTTACTGCTGTAACTTTAGCACCTTAGAACAGTGCCTGCTTCACAAATAGGCACTACATATATATAATAATGTTCAATATATAGAAAATAAATGTTAAAATAATGATAAAATATTGGTTCTGGATTCAGCTTAATAACGTTATTCCAACCTTAGTTATTTACTGCAAGAGCAAATAACAGTCCCTATAAGGAAACAGAGAAAATAAAATATTCTCAGCGAATGACTACTACCCATTCATGACAACTTGGTGAAGTTCTCTTTCCCCCAATATTAAGTAGTAGACTGCTTTGCATTAATACCAGACAAGTCTTTTTTTTTTTTTTTTTTTTTTTTTTCTGAGACAGAGTCTTGCTCTGTTGCCAGGCTGAAATGCAATAGCATGATCTCAGCTCACTGCAACCTCCAACTCCCAGGTTCAAGCGATTCTCCTGCCTCAGCCTCCTGAGTAGCAGGGACTACAGGTGCATGCCACCATATCCAGTTAATTTTTGTATTTTTAGTAGAGGCAAGGTTTCATCATGTTGGCTAGGATGGTATCAATCTCTTGATCCACTCGCCTTGGCCTCCCAAAGTGCTGGGATTACAGCCATGAGCCACTGCACCCAGCCCAGACAGTCATTTTTATTAGTAATTGTTTCCATTTCTAAAACTTCTTTCAAGAACTAATGACTAACTTGATAGATTAGGATTTTCAAAGAGTAAAGTGAACCTAGGGCCTATTCAACAATCCTAAACACATGTAAAGGGAACAGTGCTTCAGCAGGGAGCCCTGGAAAACAAATTCAACACGTTTTTCATTAGAAAGTGGGTGTGGTGGCCAGGCAAAGTGGCTCATGCCTGTAATCCCAGAACTTTGGGAGGCCAAGGTGGGTGGCTCACTTGAGGACAGGAGTTTGAGACTAGCCTGGCTAACACGGTGAAACTCCGTCTACTAAAAATACAAAAAATTAGCCGGGTGTGGTGGCAGGCGCCTGTAACCCCAGCTACTCAGGAGGCTGAGGCACAGGAATTACTTGAACCCAGGAGGCAGAGGCTGCAGTGAACTGAGATCATGCCACTGCATTCCAGTCTGGGTGACAGAGTGAAACTCTGTCTCAGGAAAAAAAAGAAAGAAAGAAAGTGGGCATAGTAATACTTCATTGTCATGTCATACTCCCAAAAGCCACTTATAGTCAACATGCTTCTAATACACTGAGCAAACATAAAACACAAGCACTAACCATAATAACCATAGCAAACAGGCTAGCAGTAACTATAAAGCCTGTCTGGGCAGCTACCTTACCTCTTTAGGTAAACCAGCAGTACTATGATTGCACCTGCAACGATGACTGGAACGATGAGTAACATGGTTATGTAGAGGGTGGAATTGCGCTTCTTACCTGGAGAATGAAAAGCAAACAGGAAGACTTGAGAAACAAAATGCTTTTAGTAATAGACCTAGCAGCAATTCTGTTAGCTAGTAAGATCACGAATATTTCTGCTCCCTCCCCCAACCTATTTTCCAAAACTCTTCAATTATCTTCTGTTATCTTAACAGTTAAAAAAAAAAAAAACAAAAAGTCCTCCTCTGGTACCTGAACTTCCCTGGGTGAGCAAACACCTTAAAGATTACCTGAAATCAGGACATTTTAAAAAAGACAAACATAAGCTTTATTCTCCTTCAAAAACCCAGAGAATAGGGCCAGGAACCATATTCACTAATTTAATCAGAATCAGAGTCCCTTAACTTTCATGGTCTCATTTAACTTTTTTTTTTTTTTTTTTTTTTGAGACAGTCTTACTCTGTCACCCAGGCTGGAGTGCAATAGCGTGATCTCGGCTCACTGCAACCTCCACCTCCAGGATTCAAGTGATTCTCCTGCTTCAGTTTCTTGAGTAGCTGGGGCTACAGGTGCACACCACCACACCCGGCTAATTTTTGTATTTTTAGTAGAGATGGAGTTTCACCATGTTGGCCAGCTGGTCTCAAGCTCCGACCTCAAGTGATCTGCCTGCCTTGGCCTCCCAAAGTGCTGGGATTACAGGCATGAGCCACTGGGTCCAGCCTCATTTAAAATTTTATAGAAATAAACTGACCATTCTAAAAATGACAAAATACATGTTATTTTCAACTACATAGTAAAAAGATGTAGTAAACTCTCTTATTCAGAACAGAGGAGGGCTGGGCTAGTGAGCTGTTCAAATATTCATAACAAATACAAATTACTCTATGTACACATAATAAACATGTTTTCATAGCCTAAAATCACCATACAAAATCTGATAATAAAATTGTGTCATGTTCAGAAGCTGGGAAGCCAACACATTGGAATTATTTTGGTAAATGTAATAATGGATAGAATCTCTCAAATCATGATTGTCCCAGAAGCTCTGAGACAGATGTCAGTGACATGCACATTGTTCACTGTTCAGTAACTATATTCAAAAAACTAGAATGCGAACTATTCAACACAATATTTATTAACTGATGAAAAAACACTTCAAGATTTTACAGTGCTTCAAATGAATAAGTAGCAACGAATGAGTAGTAACTGGAAAACAGTTATAACAGACAGCAGGCACTGAGAAATTCTGTCTGACAGATAGCAAATAACTGCTTTTAGCATATAAACTGGTAACATATCACAAAGGGGTTTTTTTTAAGTTCTTTTAAGCTATGTTGCCATGAAAGAAAGGTTTCTTAAGTAAAACTATTGCTTCTTAGAATAACTTTAAACATATTGATTAATGTTAGTCAATCAATAAAATCAATGGAATGATTTTAGCTAAGACTTTTAACATTATCTCAAAGATTCAAATAATCTTAAGATTCTAGTTTACATATAAGACTATATATGCCTTAGTACTGATTCAAATATGATTACTACAAACAAACATATCTCATTGTCAAACATAAACAATTTTCCAGATCCAAGAGAAAAGGTATGAATGAAGCCCTTTGTAAGTGTGCACACACATGCATGCACACACACACAAATTAAATGACAAAGAAGACTGGGCCAGGAGACATAGATGCTACTTTATGGAAATTACTTTCCCTCAAAGATCCCTTCCAGCTCTCTGATTCTACAGTCAAAGCATTCCCTCTGAACTGTACAAACTGGCCTCACATTTTCACGTTTCTACACAGTACCTGGTAAAGTTTGCCTGTTTGCTATTATATGAAAATATCAAATGAATTTACACAAACCCTGTCCTACAAATCTGTACACCAACTAGTTTTCCAGAGATAGTGATTTTTAAATTGTATTTATTATATTTTATTGTTTTGAGACAGTCTTACTCTGTCACCCAGGCTGGGTGGAGGACAGTGGCACCATCTCGGCTCACTGCCACCTCCACCTCCTGGGTTCAATTGATTCTTCTGCCTCAGCCTCCCGGGGAGCTAGGATTATAGGCATAAGCCACCGTACCCAGCTCAGAGATAATGATTTAAAAAAATTAATTCTATAAGTCATTAATAGCTTACTATATTTAGCGTGCCAGACCAAACCTGCAACATGATGGTGTCACTGTCCCTGGGAACAAATTACTATCTGAAAAACTGGACTCAGGTGACTGCTTCAGGTCCAACCTGGTTCAGGGCAGTGATTTCCAAATTTGAGGGAATATGGAGGTCTCCAGAGGACTTTGTTAAAACAGCTTCAAGCATCTCACCTCAGCATTACTGTGTCAGAATCTCTGGGGTTGATGCCTCCTAATCTACCTGTCTATTTAACAAATATGCTCTCCCACACCCCTCCATGCCTCTGCAGGTAATTTCTGGGCCTCACTCTCCATCCCAATCCACCCTCTCCACAAAGAAAAGAACACCACTGTACTGCAGTGGCAAAAGCTCTAGCCTCAGCGTCAGGAACCACTTGCCAGCTGCCTGATCTTGACTGAGTTATTTCACATTGCTAGATCTCTCAATCTCTTCCTCTGATAGGGGTTGAAAAGGAGTCTCTACAGGGATCCCTTCCACTCTCAGACTTGAAGAACCTAACATGGCAAGTCAGTATCATGGAGGAGGTGGGGAGAGTTTGCAAGGATGTTTCACTCTGCAGTCAACCCTCCACCACCAAGCAAGAGACTCTAGCAGCCCCCAAGAGCAAGGGGGTTATTCCCTTCTCTGGCCCCCTTATTCATAAAGGGAGGAAAAGCGAGCAGAGACTGGAATAGGATGAGGGGCAAAGGGGAGAGGCTGAAAGAAGCTCGTGAGAGTTTTAGCGAGCAGCAGGAAGGGTCATTGGAAAGCTGGAATCACCCCTCCTCCTCATCGTCATCATCTTTCTGGTCCTGGTAGTGAATGTAGATGACCAACATGCTAAAGCCAGTAAGGATGCAGAGGAAGCTGACGACCAAGTAGGCGATGCCCAGGAAGGGGTTCTTGCCACCCATCCACAAGATGCTGCTGAAGATGTGGAGCTTGTGGCTGCCGAATGCATGCACAGGATAGTTGTAGGCATTGTAGATGCCGTAGGCGCCCCGAGGTCGAGTAGTTGCCCTAATAGATGTGCACATACAGCTTGCGGAATGTGGGCAATGCCACCATGAGCATCCACACCACGAAGTCCTGCTTGATGAAGCCCGTGTTGTTGGGGATGGGGCTGAACTTATTGTAGACCAGCCGGCGCCAGTTGAGCGGGGGTGCCGTGCCATGCAAGGTCAGTACCAGGCTGCAGTTGACCGGCAGTGGGTTGTGGAACTTGAGGGGGTAGTCAGTCTACTGGGCGATGCTGGTGCAGTGTGGTAGCTCCGGTGCAGTGCAGTGGCGCGGCACCTCCACATAGAGCCCCCAGGGCTGGTGCTGGCACCACAGCGAGAAGGAGTCATTTAAGAGGCTGTTGGTGATGGCGCTGCAGGGTGCACGATGAGCAGGTGGCTTAGGGGATGTGCCCGTTGACCGGGTGGTGCAGCGTGCTGGGCAGCCCGCTCAGCTGCGCATTGTGGCAGCATATTCCGTACCACCGGTTGTTATGGTAGAAGTTGGTCAGCACGTAGTAGGGGTACATGGGGCCCTGGAAGAGCTCAGACAGTGAGAAGTACCAGGCACATGAGCAGATAGGCAGTGGTGCGCAGCCCTGGCAGGCCGTGGCACACACGGAGCAGTTCCTGGTGCTCAGGTTGCCAGTGTAGTCATATTCCAGCTCCTTGATGCTGCTGGAGGAGTAATAGAGATCCAGACCGATGAAGGCCAGACCCACATGGAAGAAGAGCTGCGGAGTGATGCTGGCCAACAGCAGCGGTTGCCAGGCAGGGAAGAGCTGCCACGTGAATGTGGTACGGTTGAGCTGGTGGGCGCCCCGGGCGGCAGTGCTCCAGGTCATGGCAGCCACATGGGCTGACAGAGGGAGGACCAGCCATGGAGCGCCTCCCCCTGTGCACTGGGCCAGCCCAGAGGACGCTCATGGGGCCGGTTTTCCCCGCCGGCTCAGGTAAATCAGGAGATCTTAACTAGTTTTAGATACTATTAACAAAGATGCTATATTAAATATGTCATCTCATTAATAGTGACTACGTTTTCTTACTGGTTACTTATCACTACTAAAATATCTAAAATAATCCTAACAACTATTATTCTTAAATAAGCACCTATCATATGTCTGATATCATACTACATGGTTTTGCATGCTTATCTCATATATATGCTATAATGACAGCATTATCTCCCATTTAAGCAGATGAGAAAGATAAGGCTCAGAGACCTTTAGTAAGTCATCCAGAAGGATTTAGTAAATAATGGCATCAGGACTCAAATTCCAGTTCCATTGTCCAGTTTCAAAGCCTGCCTTGCTATATCTAACACATAGACTATCACTTGTCTATATACACATTCATTTTTCCCACTAAGTCATGAACATCTAGAAAGCATCATCAAGGCCTGCCACCACTGTTTTAGGCAGTCACTAAGATTACTCCACATGATTTCTGACTCCTGATATTCATACCCTGGTGTAATCCCCTCTCCTCGAGCATGGGCTAGACTAATTGACTCACTTCTAAATAACAGAACAGCAGCAGTAATGGGATGTCATTTCTAAGGTTAGGTTATAAAAGACCATGTTTCCCATATTGAGTGGTCTCTCACACTCTATTTCTTGCTTGGATTACTCTCTTGGGAAAGCTGGTTTCCATATCAGGAAGTAGCCCTGTGGGGAGGTCCAAGTGGTAAGGAACTAAAGGAAGCCTCTGTATTCATTTCCTAGGGCTATCTAACAAATTAACACAAACTAGATGGCTTTAAACAACAGAAATGTATCATCTCAGAGTTTTGGAGGCTAGAAGTTCAAAATGAAGGTGCCAGCAGGGCTATGCTCCCTCTGAGGGCTCTAGAGAAGAATCCCTCCTTGCCTCTTCCCTAGCTTCTGGTAGCTCCTAGGAATCCTTGATGTTTCTTGGTTGTAGCTGCATTCCTGAAATCTCTGCCTCCATCTTCACATGGCTTTCTTCCCTGTGTATCTGTGTGTCTCTGTACTCTGTGTGACTTTTCTTTTTTATAAGGATACTAGTCATTAGATTGATTATAGCTGCAAAAATCCTATTTCCAAATACGGTTACATTTACAGGTACCAGGAGTTGGTACCTACGAACATTATCTTTTTGTGAGATACAATTCAATTGTATCTATCACATCCTCCATCAACCAGTGAGGTAATGAGGCTTTCCAACAACTACAAGAATGAACTTGGAAGTGGATTCTCTGTCCCCAATCAAGCCTTCAGACAGATTTCAGTTCTCATTGCAGCTTGACTGCAACCTCATGAGACCTCCAGCTAAGCTGTGGTTAGACTCCTGACCCACAGAAACTGTGAGATGGTAAATGTATGTTGGTTTAAGCCATTAAACTTTGGAGTAATTTGTTATGCAACAATAAATAAACGAATGCAACCATGCCTCACACATAACTTGTTGAGTTTCCCAATTAACAGGGAATTTACCACTTCAACAACCTGTTTGACTTAGACAGCTGTTTAAAAAGTTCTTAAGTTGGTTCTGTGTTGTCCCTTGGAGAAACAAAAAGGAAAGCCTATTCCTTCTAGTACCTGACAATACCTCAAATATTAGAAATCAGCAATCATGACTCCTCGAGGTTACTTTACCAATTGTTCCTTGCCAAATTTTGAGATTCTTCAACATCCTGATTACCCTTTCAAGGATAGATTCCAGTCTGCCAATGTAACTCCTTTAATGGGGTGCTCAAAATGGAATACTGCACAATTCTGATGTGGCCACAGCTCTGTGTCAAACTTTCAATATTCCCTTCTGGGTACTGCACTCATCCTTCCTGTCTAAGATTATATAGGCCTTTTTGACACATTTAAGATTACAACGTTGAGTCACATTGCACTTACAGTCAAATAAAGCCCTGTATCCCACCCCACCACACACACATCCATAAAGCGCAGGTTTTTCCAGTCCTGTACTTGAGCCTGGCTTGCTCAGCCTTTCAGTTAATAAATGAGTTTTTCAAACTTAGATACAGGTTTCTGTCTATTAAATGGCTCCACTCTTATTTCTGCCAACCAGCATGTAGGACAGTCTCTAATACTATACGATGTGCAAATTTGATTATGCCTGCCTTCTTTTTTTTTTTTTTTTAATTGATATAGGATCTCACTCTGTCACCCAGGCTGGAGGGCAGTGGCACAATCTTGGCTCACTGCAACCTGCAACCTCCACCTCCCAGGCTCAAGTGATCTTCCCATCTCAGCCCCTTGGGTAGTCGAGACCACAAGTGTGCACCAGCACACCCAGTTGATTTTTGTATTTTTTGTAGAGATGGGATTTCACCATGTTGCTCAGGCTGGTCTTGAACTCCTGGGCTCAAGCAATCCTCCTGCTTTAGTCTCTCAAAGTGCTGGGATTACAGGCGTGAGTCACTGTGTCCAGCCTATGCCTGCTTTCTATATGTTTTGTTCAGTTTGTTAATAAAATGGAAATAGAAGAAGATAAAACCATTGGATTATGGTTTCCTAAAGAACTTTATACTGTAAATTAACCCTGTACGATTTGAAAGCGATTAAAAAAGAAAATAAATTTCAATTGTTAAGTACTCTTTTCCTGACATCAAGAGAGCATGACAATCCCTTTCCCCAGTGTATTTTCTGCTTCAGCTTAGTTTTTAAAGCATCAATGTTTTAAATTTAATAAAAATTCTGTTCTCTTACCTATGGTCATTTCTTGGCTCCAATTACTCCAGAGTTTGTCATCCTCATAGCAAAATTCATTTGTTTTGACTCTTATTCTGACTGCACTCGAAGTATCAGGAAGAACACCAGGAACCATGAAACAAGATGTATTCTTAGGCATAAAATAAAAAACATACAAGGAATATTACCAGTTTATTCTTTTTTCATTGCTGTTGAATCATAATATAATTATCTGCTAAATTCTGTCTACGATTAAGACTTGGATTGCAATTTCAATTATCTTTGACTCTTGAAAAAAATTGGCAATAACTCACAGAACAAAGTAGTTTGTTTTTCTCAGAGCAGCTCAGATTTATACTATGCTCCACCCCCAACTGCTCTAAGTCTAAGCCCAAATAGCTAATGTTGAATTTACCAACCTCCATATTTCTCTCAAATTCTGGATTCTGACATTTAGCTTCATCCTTAACCTAGAAAATAATAATAATAAAAAAAGAGAATGAGTTCGAAATGTTTAAGAACCCATTTTCTATCACTTAATTATTTCTGACAACCTTTCCTTTTATCCCATTAAAAGATAACCAGGTACAGTGAAAACAGGTTGGCTTTTTTAAGAAGTGGTGCTGGGTCAATTATATATGCATATGAGAAAAAAATAATCTTGACCCCTACCTCATAGTATTCACAAAATCAGTTCCTGATACATTGTAGATTTAAATGTGTAAGATAAAATAAATACATAATACATAACTATAGCAAGCTTTTAGATGAAAATGTAGAAAATATCTGAATGACCTTGAAGAAGGGAAATATTTCTTAAACAAGACCAAAAAAAAAAAAAAAAAAAAAAACCACCCATATTAACCATAAAGGGAATTTTTAAATAAAATCATCTATATTAAAATTAAAAACTTTTGTTTATCAAATGACACCTCATCAGGGAAACAAACAGGCAATGCATCGAGTGTGAGAACATATTTGCAATTTCTGATAAAGGACTTGCATATATATTTTTTCCTACCCTACTAATAAGGCAACGAAAGAAAACCCAATTTAAAAAACTGGCAAAAGGCTTGAACAGGCACTTCACAAGAGGATAGGCAAGTTGCCAATAAACATCTGAAAAAGTGTTCAACCTCATTGGTCATGAGAAAAATGCAAATTAAATGCACAAGATAAGAATGCACACACTTAACCTGACAACACCAAGTGTTGTGAAGATATGAAGCATCTAGAACTCAAAATTTCTGCTTAGCAGTGTAAAAACTGGCATAACTATCTAGGAAAACTTATTATCTACTAGAGACAATCCTATGTAATCTTATGACCCACATATGCCTATATAAATACCCAACACAAATGTACGCACATGTGTACCAAGAGACAAGTATGTGAATGTTCATAAAAATTCCATTCATAAAACCAAATTGGAAACTATCCAAATGTCTATCAATGGGAGAATGGATAAATAAAATGTGGTATATTCACACAAAGGAATGAATGCAATGAGAATACACCATCTACAGCTATAGGAATCAACATTGGTGAATCTCACAAACACAATGTTGAGTGAAAAAAGGGTGAACACACCAAAACGTACATTCTTGGCCAGGCACAGTGGCTCATGCCTGTAATCCCAGCACTTTGAGAGGCTGAGGAGGGTGGATCATATGAGGCCAAGAGTTCAAGACCAGCCTGGCTAACATGGAGAAACCCCGTCTCTACTAAAAAGTACAAAAAAAAAAAAAAAAAATTAGCCAGATGTGATGGTGCATGCCTGTAATCCCAGCTCTCCAGAGACTGAGACAGGAGAATCTCTTGAATCTGGGAGGCAGAAGTTGCAGTGAGCTGAGATCACGCCACTGTACTCCAGCCTGGGCGACAAAGCGAGACTCTGTCTCAAAAAAAAAAAAAAAAAAAAAAAAAAAAAAGTACATCCTGTATAATGCCATTTACATAAAGTTTTAAAAGTAGCAACAAAATTAGAAGTCAGAATAGTAGCTGCTCTTTGGGAGGATAGCAACTGAAGGGGATTATGAGGTTGCTTCTGTGGTGCTGGTTACACAGGTGAAAAATCATTGAGCTATATAGGTTAAGATTTGTGTAATTTTTTTTTTTTTTTTAAGATGGGGTTTCACCATGATGGCCAGGCTGGTCTTGAACTCCTGACCTCAGGTGATCCACCCACCTCAGCTTCCCAAAGTGCTAGGATTACAGACGTGAGCCACCTCGCACGGCGTAAGATTTGTGTAATTTTTATTGTGTATTATACCTCAGCAAAAACTTTTAAAAAGAAGAGACAGGGAGGGAGAGATCAGTGTCACTTATTGAGAGTATAAGATATAAAACATGACTGGGTTGGAGAAAAGAAAGTGTAATGCAAAATTCCCCTCCACACAATAGAAGTCACTTGCTGTCTAATGTATAGATAATACTAATTTCCTTAAATGAAAGTATTTCAAAAATAGAGTAAAAAACACATGACAATCTATTGCTTAAATAGTCAACTTCTATCAAAGATACATTTAAACATGGAACAAAGGTCGTAACACGCAGCTATTATTTTTGACATTTAATGTCATTCACTAAATGGTTCCTACCAGCATGTGTGAAGAGCTAAGAGGCCAAGTAAATGATGAAGGGACATCCTTTCAATATTTCATGCAGGGGTTCAGAAAAAAAAAAAAAACAACACTCGGGGGCTACTATACCCTATTACTGGCCATTTAGAATCATAGATCTGCTGGGGAATCACAAGCGTCAACTACCAGTTGAGAGATCAAGTTGCAAATTGATGTCCCTCCTCCCCTGGACCATCTTCCATATATAGAAATTCGAAACTCTGAGAATCAATCTGTAGATTTAGATCTCTAGGCTCTTATTTAAATGTAAATCCCCCTGCATAGTTTACTGGCTATTCAGAGACCACTAAGAGAAGGAAAGCCAAGGTACCAAGAAGACAATTTGCTGGGAAGTTGGGGGGTAAGGGAGTGGTCACAGACAAGTTGTTCCTTACGTCATAATTCTGTCATGAGCTACCTCTGACCACAGCCCTCATGTGATGGTACCAGTTCATGTTCCAGTGTATTTCCCCCTCTTAAGTGTAACACCAGGCAAAATAATTTTTCAAAAAAAAGCCTAAGCAGCAGACCTCAAAATCAGTGAGTACACAAAAAACTGATGATATTCTATGTCTGCTAGGAGAGAAAACATTAAACTCAAGTGTACAAACAGAGTTAATTCCAAACAGAAAATAGTTCTGATCTAGGTAGGTAACTTCCATCGCATATGTGTTCTCTTCAGTTCGGAAATTTGTTAAAAAAAAAAAAAAAAAAAGTAACTCAATTCAATAATAATTTATTAAGTGATGATTATGCATATGTCATACTAAGTATTCTTGGTCAAAGTTTAACACATGGAAACCAACTAACCTTTGAAGTCATACTGACTTATTAGCTGTGTGGCTTGTAGCAAGTTACTTAACCTCTCTGAGCCTTAGTTTTAAGGCTAAGATGCAGGTTAAAAAGTACATCAATAAAATGTAGATTAAAATAGTTTCTATTTCATGGGTTGCTATGAGATACTGTATTAAGAAGCACATAGAAGAGTAACTTTGTAGCATGCCTTAAACACTTAATGAATGATGGTTATTGCTATTACGTGGAAGTACTGAGGTGGTCTCTAGTGGTTAAGAATCCAAGTTTTAGAGTTACAATTTTGGTTAAATATTAATTCTACCACTTACTAGAAACGTGACCTTAGGAATAACAAAGTTTTCTTAACTGTAAAATGGAGACAATATAACAGGACCTAGATCCTTAGGCTTATTGTGAAGACTAAATGAAACAATTCAGATATAGTGCTTATTAAGATACCTAGCACACAGTAATCACTCAATACATGTTAGCTGCTATTTAGTAGCAGGAACAGCACAAAGTAGATAGCACCTGACTCCTTCCTACAGGAGTTTATATTTTCTTTTTTTAAAATATCAACTTTTAAGTTCTGAGGTACATGTGTAGGTTTGCGACATAGGTAAAGGTGTGCCATGGTGGTTTGTTGCACAGATCAATCCATCACCCAGGTATTAGGCCCAGTATACATTAGCTGTTCTTCCTGATGCTCTCCCTCCCTCTGCCAACTCCCCACGGGCCCCAGCATGTGTTGTTCCCCTCCACGTGTTCTCATTGTCCAGTTACCACTTGTAAGTGAGAACATGTGGTGTTTGGTTTTCTGTAGTTTATACTTTCAGTGGAGAGAAAATGCATATATGTGATAGGTTAAACAGCAAGAAAATAATTGAGTGGCAAAATGAATACTATAAGCAGCATGCGTCTCAGGATTTCAGAGAGGAGAGAACAGTAAAGACTGGAGTAAACAAGTATGATTCCAGCTTTCTGATAACTGCTTTTGTTGTAAATTCAAGCACAAGCCCCCTTCCACATGGAAGCCCTTAGTTTTTTCGCTTTGCTGTATTTCATAGGGCACTTAATTTCTGGTACTAATAATGATTATTACATTTCAGCAGAAGGATTCATAATGCAAATGCCCAGAAGAGCATTTGCTCTTCTGTTCTGCTGTAGACTTGGTCACTCCCTCTGTAGCTGAAATTACAGCCTGTAAACACTGGCTTATTTTAGCAAGCATTTTGAAAGTTCCATGATGAGCTAGAACAACTGGACCAAGGAATTTACCCACATGCGAGATGCTAGGCTCCTTTAAACGCCAATATAAAACATTTCACTTCTCACCTCTAAAACTCAAACACACAAAGGATCCAGGCAGGTAGCAAACAAGTGAGTGGTGCAGTCTTCCTGGTCTTAAGGCGCCATCTTATGGACATACACTCTTAAGGTACTATGATTTAAAATCTAGGCAAAAAATTCTAATCTAGTAAACAAAGAAACAAACAAAACGAGACTTTGTGTTCCAAACAAAAAAGTGTGAGGCCCTAGTTTGTGACCTTTGCCCTAAAGCAGAACAATGGGATGGATGTCCTGAGATTATAGCACATGTCCTACAGGACCTCTAATTAGCATTTTCTGCATTTGATTCTGAATAGCGTACAGTCACATAATCCAACAAATACTGACTACTCAAATTTGATTACTTTAGTTGTCACAAACTCCAAGGAAACAGAATGGCATTATCAGAGCCTCCAAGTGTCTGCATGATCCATGTCTGCCTACTGCTAAGACATCTTTTCCTGCCTCATTTTGGCCACACCACCCTCCTTTCTGTTCTCTCACACATGCTAAGCTCATTCTTGCCTCAAAGTCTGTATCTGCTGACTCCCTACACCCAGATCTTGGCATGGCTAGTGCCTGCTCATCATTCTGGTCTCATCTCAATTGTCATTGCTTCAGATGATTTCCCTACCTAATATTCCCTCTGGTTCTCGCAGTCACTCTACATAACCCCATTTTATTTTCTTCACAGCACTCATGCTCTGAAATTAGCTTTCTTATTTACATACATTTTCTATCATGGAGGATTCATGAAGAAAAACACTTGTCAGGTGTCATGTTCACTGCCTTAGCCCTAGCACACAAAAGACAATAAAAATGTGTTGAGCAGATGAATTATTTTTAATAGGCCATTTTAAGAAGCTTACAGATGAATTAATAAATGGCTGAAACTTGCAGCTGATACTATTTACCATAAATCTTCAAGTCTTCCACCATGCCTTATTTTAGACAAGAAGTTTCATCATTATCATCATCATCATCATCATCATCATCATCAGGTGAAAAACTTAAGAGCTATGTTTCATTGCTATTTCAATGTAAGACATTCAAGTAAAAGAAAAATAGTCAAATAAAAACAATACTTTTTAAAACCTTACGTTGAAAACAAGTGTCTCAGTTTGGCTGTTATTGACTTGTACTTCATAAGATAAGCATCTGCTAATAAAATTCTGTGGATCCTCCCATTGCACATACAGGTTACCATTATGGAAGAAGAGCTTTTTAATATGTGGAGGATCAGGTTTCACTGAAAGACAAAAATAGAACACAAGTAAGCTTCCAAAGTTTGATCTCACACACACACACACACACACACACACACACACACACACACACAAACACAGAGTCAGTGGTCCTCCATATCCATGGATTCTGCATTCATGAATTCAGCCAACCATGAACTGAAAATATTTTTTTAAAAAAATAGTGTCTGTGCTGAACATGTACAGACTTTTTTCATTTATTCCCTAGATTATATAACAACTATTTACATAGCAATTACATTGTATTAAATAAGTAATGTAGAGGTGATTTAAAGTATATGAGAAAATGTGCATACACTACATGCAAGTACCATGCCATTTTTAAAATCAGGGACTTGAGCATCCATGGATTTTGGTATCCTTGAAAATTCCTGGAAGCAATCCCCCATGGATACTGAGAGATAACTGCATATATATGCAGGGTTCCTAAAGTTAAATCAAAACAGAGCGGACACATTTAGTGACCTTTCATGATCAGATACAGAGTTTTAAAATTTCTGATTAGCCACAATTACAGAAGAAGTTTATTTAAAATATGTGAAATTTAAATTTTACTGCCTAGTAAAATGGATTTAAGGAACATATTTGGGGTATCTGGCAGATGACATGAACTCTGACCTGCAGCTGGTTAGAAAATGGCCAGGGTACAATCAGGAAACCTAAATGCAACACAGAGAATAAAAAGGTTGCAGATGTACTCGAGTCCAGATGTACTTCCACCTGATGAATAATAAGGGACCAGATACAAAGGGCTTCCCTGGTTGTCACTTATTAATGCCAATCAAACACCACCATTAAAACATTGGCTTAGGGCTGGGTGAGGTGGGTCAAGCCTGTAGTCCCAGTACTCTGGGAAGCTGAGACAGGCAGATTATGAAGTCAGGAGTCTGAGACCAGCCTGGCCAACATAGTGAAACCCCCTCTCTACTAAAAATACAAAAATTAGCTGGGCACGGTGGCGCACCCTGTAGTCCCAGCTATTCAGGAGGCTGAGGCAGGAGAGTATCTTGAACCAGGGAGGCAGAAGTTGCAGTGAGCCGAGATTGCACCACTGCAACCCAGTCTGGGTGATGTCTTGGGGAAAAAAAATTGGCTTAGTCTCTGACACACGCTGCAACATAAATGCACCTCAAGGAAATTATGCTAAGTAAAATAAGCCAGTCACAAAAGACAAATACTACATGAATCCACTGCTATAAGGTATCTAAAGTAGCCAAATTCATAGAAACAGAAAGTAGAAACGTGGTTGCCAAGGGCTGGGCAGAGGGGAAATTAATGTTTAATGAACAAAGAGTTTTGGTTTTGCAAGATGAAAACGTTCTAAATATCTGCTGCACAACAATGTGAATATACTACTTAACACTACCAAACTGTACCAAACATTAAAGTGTTTATGAAGGTAATTTTAATGTTGTGTGATTATAACCACAGTTAAGAAAAAAATACATTGGGAGGCCAAAGCAGGTGGATCACCTGAGGTCAGGAGTTCAAGACCAGCCTGGGCAACATAGTAAAACCCCATCTCTACAAAAAATACAAAAATTAGTTGGGAATGGTGACACATGCCTGTGGTCTCAGGTACTTGGGAGGCTGAGGTGAGAGAATAGCTTGAGCCTGGAAGGTCAAGGCTGCAGTGAGCTATGATCATGCCACTGCATTCCAGCCTGAGCAACAGCGTGAGATCCTGTCTCAGAAAAAGAAAAAATAATTTATTTTAAAAAATCCATTAGCCTGGTCAATTCACCTTTTCAGGAGTCAGCTATACTTAAGACCAAGCAACAGAAGATAATGGCTAATTAAGAGAAAACAACTTGAAGATATCTTCCATCTGAGAAGAAATCTTCCTTCTTCCTGTATGCCACCATTAACATCCAGGGAGAAAAGCAGCAAAATAAGCCTTAAAAAAGTCATCTAGGATAATCTGCCAAACAAAGAGAGGGCTCTGCTTCAGCTTACCCCACTGGGCAAAATACTCCAACTTCACTCCCTTGGCCTACAAAGTAAGCTGACTTTGGTACCCTATTAGAATTTACTTCCCTGACTATTTGAAGAGATGGGAAATAGTGTTCTGCTCAGGGACTTGGGAGCACTTGTCAATGGATAGTTATTTGCTTATAAATCATCTGTATACACTTAGCCAGAATCTGAGCTCCCAGTTGGAATATTTCAACAAATAAACCATTATATTTATGGAATCTGCTTTAGTAATTTACAAAATGAGCTAATATGCTCTATGTCGTTTGGACCTTATGACAATTTTTTTAGATTGAGAGAGACTACTATATTTTCCATTTTACAGACAAGGAAGTATTTGAAAGAGGTTTATATGCCTTGCCCAAAGTGGAAGAGTTAGAACCTAATCAGATATTTTGTGTTCAAGTTGAGGGCGCTTTCTAACAGGCTGACATGCAGCTGGCACCCACAGGTATGGATATACTGGTTTTTCTAACTGATCAGTGGCCATGCCATACAGAATTTTAAATATTTTGAGTATCACCTGATTATACTACCTTCAATCTATGCCTTTTCTAAGAGACAGATTATTCAGGAACTCTATATGATCATATGAGCATCATCTTCTTAAGTATCAAGAGAATAGATCTTAGAGTCAGACGGCCTGGGTTCCTGCTATGATTTGAATGATTATCTTCTCCCAAACTCATGTTGAAACTTTACACCCAATGTGGCAGTATGAAGAGGTTGGGCCTTTAAGAGATGATTGGGTCATGAGGGCTCTGCATGAGTTGATTGATCTATTCACCGATTAATGGATTAATGGGTTATCATGGGAGTGGGACTGGTGGATGTGTACCAAGAGGAAGAGAGATCTGAGCTAGCATACTCCCTCACCATGTGATGCCCTGTGCTGCCTTGGGACTTTACAGAAAGTACCCATAAGCAAGAAGGCACTCACCGGGTTTGGCCCCTTGACCTTCCACTTCCCTGCCTCCAGAAATGCAAGAAACAAATTACTTTTCTTTATAAATTACCGAGTTTCTGGTATTCTGTTGCTTATAACAGAATATCAGAAACTAACAAACAATGAACTAAGACAATTCCAATGTTGGTTCTACAACTAACTGTTCTAAGTCTCAGTGTACTCATAAGTGAACAACGTTGAAGCGTCTGGCACATGTGCTCAGTAAATAGAATTTCCAAGTTTGCTTCTTTAAAAAGGATCTATCGAAGAAAGTTATATATCAATGTAATCCCTTGTTTCTGGAAGATCTTAAAACCAAAAGGATTTTTTTTTATTATTTGTATTGATTGTACAAAAGATATAACACACTTTTAATCCACACTGTCATAGAGGACTTCTAAAACTTACCACGGGAAGTTAAAGGTACTATTTTGAAGGATGGTCTAATTTTTCCTGCATTATCCTTGACCATTATTTGGACACTGTTTTTTTCAAAACTGGAATCCTTCACTTTGGTCAGATCAAAGGAACAACCAAAGTATTGGTTATCTTTATAGATCTTTTCACATTGATGAATTTTTTCCAGGTTGCTGTGCCTACAAGATAAAATGAGACAATCTTCTGCATTATATTCAACAAGGTATTCAAGAAATAAGAGCAGGCTGGGTGTGGTGGCTCACACCTGTAATCCCTGCACTTTGGGAGGCTGAGGCAGGCGGGATCACTTGAGGTCAGGAGTTGGAGACCAGCCTTGCCAACATGGTGAAACCCTGTCAGTACCAAAAATACAAAAAATAGCCAGATGTTGTGACGCCTGTAATCCCAGCTACTCAGGAGGCTGAGGCAGGAGAATCTCTTGAACCTGGGAGGCAGAGGTTGCAGTGAGCTGAGACTGCACTACTGCACTCCAGCCTGGGCAACAGAGTGAGACCCTTACCCCCACCCCAAAAAGCAAGAAAAAGAAAGAAAAATAAGAAGGAAGGAAGGAAAGAAGGAAGGAAGGAGGGAGGGAGGGAGGGAGGGAGGGAAGGAAGGAAGGAAGGAAGGAAGGAAGGAAGGAAGGAAGGAGGGAGGGAGGGAGGGAAGGAAGGCAGGCAGGCAGGCAGGCAGGCAAGCAGGCAGGCAGGCAGGCAGGCATGCAGGCAGGCAGGCAGAATTTTTAATGGCTGAAGATGCCCATGAAAAGCAATAGGCAAGAGAACTTTAAAAAAAAAACAACCAAAAAACCTCTTTTACAATGTGACTCATTTCATATGCAAGGAAGAAAAGATCTTTTTTTTTGAGACAGAGTCTCACTCTGTCTGCCCAGGCTGGAGTGCAGTGGAGCCTCTGCCTCCTGGGTTTCAGTGATTCTTGTGCTTCAGCCTCCCGAGTAGCTGGGATTACAGGCATGCACTACTACGCCTGGCTAATTTCTGTACTTTTAGTGGAGACAAGGTTCACCATGTTGGCCAGGCTGGTCTCAAACTCCTGACCTCAAGTGATCTACCCACCTTGGCCTCCCTCTCAAAGTGCTAGGATTACAGGTGTGAGCCCCCATGCCCAACCTAGATTGTTCCTTTATGATGAACACCGGTACTGTCAGCAGCTATGGAGACTATAGGAGCCTATTTCTTCTGTTTAAGAGAAGACATTCTAAGGGTGGAACTAGAAGTTTCATGCTTCTTGAAAATGCCTATCTCCTGAATTCCACCATTCCTCCTCTGGTCCCTCTGCCCTACTCCTTCCTTGTTTCTTGGCTTGTTTTGCTCCCTCCTCCCTGTTCCAGCAGAGGAGGAGTAGGAGGGCTACTCACATTCTTCTCTCTTTTTGACTCCCTCGTGCACTCACCTCCAGTTTATCACTCCCCCATCCCTTGACTACGGCTTCTTTGTTGGGAATTCCTAATCCTGACCTCTCACTTTAGAACTAGTTCCAGATTTTCAACTGCTCCATTTGAGTGTTCCACCATTGCCTCAAATCCAGTGTCCAAAACACATCATACACCCTCTTCCCTGCCAAACTGTTTTTTCTCCCAACATTCCCATTTCCATCAGTCAGAGCTCATTTTCTTTGGGCTCCTAGATTAGATAATTTCAAATCACCTTCCCCCCTTTCTGTTCCCTGTATTCTATCACCAAATTCTGTTCTTTCTTCCTTTGCAAAGCTTCCTGGATCCTCATCTTCTATGATACTCCCATTGCCCACACCCTGAGATTCATACCCTAATGACTACAGGCTCCATTGCTTCTTCAGATTGACCTCCCTGACCTTCATTATTACTGTCCTCGAATCACTGCCAGGTAAATGTTCTAAAACACAATGGCTTTGTAAGTGTCTCATTCTACTGTGTGGCTTTAAATGTCTTCCATAAGCAGTATTGTAGGTACCTTATTTCCCATTTCACCTCTACACATACCTTTCCCCAAAGATCATCAGCACCTAGCCCAGCACAGGCAGACAATGTGTTTATTACACTTTTTTTAAAAATCTAGGCTATCAGAGAACTCTGTTTTGTAGTAACTGGCAGAAGACAGAGAGTCAAGTCTTACATCATCAGCTACAAAGGGAGTTGCGCAAAAGTTTTGTAGAAAAGGAAGACAATTCTAAGAAAAATTTACTAAGAGTAAACAGTCTCAAATCCTTAACCTGTTACCTCAGAATCCTCTGTAGTACTCTGAAATGCAGGTTCCTCAAACCCTGTTCCACAGAATCTAATTTAGAAGGTTTTTGCCAGAATCTACGAACCAGCATTTGAACAGCAATTCTCCAGGAGATTCTACTGCAAATCAGGTTTCTAAAAAAAACTCAGAGCTAATGTATTTATACCTTCAAAGGCTGAGCAAAGAAATAGTTCAATATAGAAAATGCTTTTTTTTCTTCAATAAGTAGTACATAAGCTTTTCCCCCTAGTTGCAGCCTCCTGTGGTTTATGAAGAAAACAGTGTTGTAAAAATAAAGTTATTGTCATGACTAGTTTTTGGATCAGATAGTCCTGGAATGTTTTCCGCCCATGGCCAAAAACAGAAACTAAAGAAACTTAATGACATTTTTCTTACATAACTAAAGAGAACTATGTGTAAAACTGTTTTTTAATGGTGAAAGAAACTCCTTGAATGCACAGTGTTCTTGATCCCTTTTTTATTTCTGTACCTTCAGTATTTTGTATATGCTCATGGATCTGAGATATGAAATTTTAAAACAATTTTGTTGTAATTTAGAAATAGTTATAGAAGGGAAAAAATGGGTAGGTAACATTTTTCGAATTCTTGTGAAACATTAACCTAAAACAGCCGGTGATTCCTGTTAAAATTTATACTCTGAATTTATCTGGAGAATCACACTGCAGATATGAAAAGGAAACTGACAAACTGAAGACTATTCTCCCAACTCAGAAGATGATTAACGTGGTAAAAAAAAAAAAAAAATCCCTAAAATTCATTGGCATGACTAGTCTCCAGCTCTTCAGGCCAGGGTCTGTTCAATGCCAGACTGTCCCTGCAGGAACACATGTCATTGCCCTAGGGATTCAATGAATTATTTTGATTTCAAAGAGTGACTCCAGGCCAGATGCAGTGGCTCACGTCTTTAATCCCAGCACTTTGGGAGGCTGAGATGGGTGGATCACTTGAGGTCAGGAGTTCCAGACCAGCCTAGCCAACATGGTAAAATCCCATCTGTACTGAAAATACAAAAATTAGCCGGGTGTGGTGGCATGTGCCTGTAATCCCAGCTATTCAGGAGGGTGAGGCAGGAGAATCGCTGGAACCTGGGAGGCGGAGGCTGCAGTGAGCCAAAATCATACCACTGCACTCCAGCTTGGGCGACAGAACAAGACTCCATCTCCAAAACAAAAACAAAAACAAAAACAAAAACAAAAAAACACTCCATGTTTCCTAGTTAGGGGTTAGAGAAAACAGTCTTTGACAGTTTGTTTGATGTGATTTATACTGGTACCTAAATCATTTCTGGTGCTTGCTAATGAGCACTGTGCCTTGACTCCCTTTCTTTTGTGGCTTTTATTAGAAAGGATCTATCTAGGGGAAAGCAAGAAAGAAGGAGGTATGGGTTAGGTACTAATTCTGTGAGACAGAGGAAGAGGCCAGCACTGTGTACTGACTACATCTGCAAGGGAGTGTGGAGTAATAATAATAATAATAATAATAATAATAAACAGTATTGATAACCATCATGGATTGAGTGCTTACTCTACATATGCTAGCAGCTAGTTATGGCTCTAAACACTAGCCCTCACAGCAACCTTAAGAAGGAGGTACTTTTATTACTATCTCCATTTTACAGATTATAAAACTAAGGCTGAGAGAAAAAGGACTTGCCCAAAATCACAGTGATGTAAGGAAGAGAGCCAGGATTTCAACCTAAGCAGTGTGGCTCCAGAAAGAATAATCTGTGGGGTGGTAAGGGCATAAGATACAGAATCTGTACCAGTACCATCCAATAGAACTTTCTGGGACTATGGAAATGGTTTCTATCTGTGCTGTCCAATACAAGAGCTGCTCATCACTTGTGAAAGTGGCTGGCGAGACTAAGCAACTGAAGTTTAATTCAATTCAATTTAAATTAAAATGTAACTAGCCAGTGGCTCCTATACTGGATGGCACAGATCTACACTACAGAAAGAGCCCCTGCTGATGACCAGCTCTGGGATCACGTATGACAAGAAGTAGTCCAGGTGAAGTGGCTCATGCCTGTAATCCTGCACTTTGGGAGGCCAAGGTGGGCTTGAGTCCAGGAGTTTGAGAGCAACCTGGGCAAGATGGCAAAACCCCATCTCTACAAAAAATACAAAAATTAGCCAGCTATGGTGGTACACACGTGTGGTCCCAGCTAACTGGGAAGCTGACATGGGAAGATGGATCGGGCCTGGAAGGTTGAAGCTGCAGTGAGCAATGATCACACCACTGTACTTCAGCCTGGACAACAGAGTAAGATGCTAGCTCAAAAAAAAAAAAGTTGGATCCTTGATATCTGCCGCCCTTGGATGCTAGTGACCCACCACTATCTTGGGATTGGGTCTTGAGCCACCTCCAGTGACTATACAGACTCTGCCCTGTAAAAAGACATCAACTGGTGGCTGAAAGCCAGCCCAAGTACCATCTGCTGTCAGCTTTGATGAGAGCCTGCTTCAGCCCAGAGGAAGAGGAATGCTTTTTCAAATTGGTCACTCCAATTTTTTTTGTAATTCATTCACCTAGAGGGAACATTCTTTTAACAATTTACATTGAGTCTTGTTTTTTGCTAGTATATCCCCAAGGCATTTCCCTATTTTTGTCTTGAAAGAGCCCCAAGGATTAGGCCACCATCTGCCTCCAGTGCCACTGCGATTCTAATAGCTGGGAAAATTTCTTACCCAGTCTGCCATGGAATGAGATACAGTTTTAAGAGTTCTTCCCTTCTTTTCCAGCCCCTTATATCGACATAGATTCTTTAAAGATTTTCCCTCCGGTTTTACCAATAATGACTCCAGGGAAAACAACAGGGGTTAATAGCATAATAAACACATGCATGCTACCAACTCACAAGACATCTTAAAGGCTTGTGTAATGGCTCTCCCTAAACCTTACTGCAATATCAACAGCCAGGCTACTCCTTCTTAGTAAGGCTTAGTTCTTTGGCCCCTTCTTAGCAATGCTTTAGGGAGCTAGATCTACTCAATCCTTCTCTCTTTTTATTCATGAATGGTAATACTCCTCAGTTGCTTATACCTCATAAGTCGTCACCTCAACCCTGAATATTCTCTAGCTTTGGATCCTATCAAACATTCAAAACTTATTTATGGAATATTTACTATATATCAGGCACCAAGAGAAACAAGACATAGCTCCTGCTCTCAAGAGAAACTGCAGCCTGTAGCAAGCTACCATCAAGTGACAGGAAATAACAACACAATGTGCTGGGTAGTATGACACAAGAAACTGCAAGGTGCCGTGGGACAAGCGGAAAGAGTACATGTCTAGACTTGAGAGGTCAAGGAAGGCTTTCTGGAGAGGAAATGGTGTCTGAGCTGAGCTAAGAACAAGTAAGAGGCAACCAGGTGAAAAGGAAAGGCCTAGGCTACAAGAGGATGCAGAATGCTTCCACTATTCCGTTTGAATATTCTGTTTGAATTCCAGTGTTGTGTTTATTTGAAGAATCAGTCTGAGGAACTGAAGGAAGTTTGCTGTGGGTGAATGGTGGGCTGCAGCGCAGGGGGAGGGGTGGTGGTGCACAGAGGCAGATGCAACTGAGTCTGGAGATGTGGAGATGTTGACAGGGGCCAGGTCATAAAGCAATTTGTCTGTCGTGGTGGAGAGTTTGGACTTTAACCTAAAGCCACCAGGGAGCCACTGAAGGGCTTTAAGTAAAGGAGAAACAATAGGTACCAAGAGTGAGCAGGTGAAACTACAAAACCTTAAATGAGACTTACATGATGGGGGGAAGAAACAGACCTCGGACATAACCACACAGAACTTCTGGCTTCACCTGAAGCACTTCCCAACTTTGCCAGGAGGATCCTTCCACCAGGGAGGAATAAGGATGTGAATCCCAGGGCAATTTTAGAGGTTTTCATCCAAAAATGTATGTGATTGTTTCTTTTGCATTCTATTCATGATATAGCCATGAACGTTTTAACATACCAAAAATGCTTTCCATCATGTCACCAGGCAAAATAGACACTTTAGCATGAAAGGCCATGTTTATCCAGTAGCTTCACAAGTCTTGGACATGGCCCCTCACATCCCATTCTCTCAGAAGCAGTCTTAACAAATGATAGCCAAGGGTAGTATGATGCAAGAAATTGCAAGGTGCCATGAGACAAGAGGAAGGGACACATGTCTAGACTTGAGAGGTCAAGGAAGACTTTCAGGAGTGGAAATGGTGTCTGGGCTGAGATAAGGACAAATAACAAGGTCATGTGGAGGGCAGACTGCCTATGCTAGGTCTCCCCTTCTCCACCCTGATATCACAATGATTAAATATCTCCATTTCTCAAAATGCTCTTCCCCAGAGGCCAGCCTCAGAGAAACTCCCTCATCTGGGCAGTCTGCCTCCTTCATCAAAGCCTCTCAGGCGGAGGGAGGTCAGGGCAGTGGCTCATGCCTATAATCCCAGCACTTTGGGAGGCTGAGATGGGTGGATCACAAGGTCAGGAGTTCAAAAGACCAGCCTGGCCAAGATGGTGAAACCCGGTCTCTACTAAAAACACACACACACACACACAAAATTAGCTGGGCATGGTGGAGGGCACCTGTAATCCCAGCTACTCAGGAGGCTGAAGCAGAGAATTGCTTGAACCCGGGAGAGAGAGGCTGCAGTGAGCCGAGATCGTGCCACTGCACTCCAGCGTGGGCAACAGAGTGAGACTCTGTCTCAAAAAAAAAAAAAAAAAAATCTTTCTAGTCTCCTCTCCATTCATCCACCCACCTCCCCACAACCCCACCCCAAGCTCCAACCTAACTTCCCATAGGAATCTATCTATCCCTCTGCAACAGCCTTCAGCATACACTATCTTATTTAATTTAATGCAGGTCACTGTATCAGGCACTATCTCCTCCTCTATATTTTAAGCTTTAGGAGAGAAGAGATATGTTTCTTGTCTCTGCTGTACATTCAGTGGTTTATCCACAAAGTGTTCTAAATAAAGGTTTACTGAATTAAACCAGATTGACTTGGTCTTCCTTTCTTATTCTGTTGCTAATAATTATAGGCTCTAAAGGAAATGATGGAAGACTAACTTAGAAATGTAACAAACATTGTAGTAGATATAGTCACAAATACCAAATACTAAAGGATCAAATATCAAAACATCAAAGTTATTCTGCAGGAAGCTAAACTACTTTTTGAGGCTGAGTGTAGTGGCTCACACTTGTAATCCCAGCACTTTGGGAAGCTGAGATGGGCAGATCACTTGAGGCCAGGAGTTCGAGACCAGCCTGACCAACATGTTGAAACCCTGTTTCTACTAAAAATACAAAAATTAGCTGGTCATGGTGGCACATGCAGATAATTCCAGCTGCTTCAGAGGCTGAGGCAGGAGAATCACTTGAACCCAGGAGGCAGAGGTTGTAGTGAACCAAGATCGCAACACTGCACTCTAGCCTGGGTGACAGAGCAAGACTCTATTTCAATCAATGAATCAATAAACAAACTACCTTATGGCCCCAGACATGATATAATTTTCCTTTTTAAAAGCAGACATCACGCTGGACGCAGTGGCTCACGCCTGCAGTCCCAGCTACTTGGGAAGCCAAGGGAGGAGAACTGCTTGAAGAGGAGATGGAGGTTGGAGTGAGCCGAGATTGTGCCATTGCACTCCAGCCTGGGCAACAGAGTGAGCCTCCATCTCAAAAAAAAAAAAAAAAAAAAGACATCAATAACTCATATATTGCTAGGGGGAATGTAAGGTGAACTAACTTCTTTAGAAAACAGTTTGGCATTAAAAAAATAAAACTAAATATGCAATTACTATATAACCCAGCAATTACACTCTTGGGCATTTATTCCAGAGAAATGAAAAGTTATGTTCATATAAAAATCTGTATGCAAATATTTACAGTAGCTGTATTCATAATAGCAAAAAACTGGAAACAACTGAGATATCCTTTAATGAACAAATGGTTTCAAAAACTGGTACATCCATGTCATGGAATACTACTGAGCTATAAAAAGGAGTGACCTCTTGATATGCAACTACTTGTACAGATCTCCAGGGTATTCTACTGAGTTTTTTTTTTTTTTTTAAGCCAGTCTTAAGTGGTTATATACTATAGGATTCCATTCCAGTAACATTCTTGAATTAATAAAATTAAAGAGATGGAGAACAGATCAAGGTTGCCAGAGGTTAGAGGCTTGGGGGAGAGGGGTGTGGAGGAGAGATGGTTTAAGAGGGAGGTGAGTGTGTCCATAAAAGTGCCACTCCTTGTGGTGATTGAACCACTGTATATCGTCATGTGATAAAATTGCATACAACTATACATATACACACACAGAGTGCATGTAAAGCTGTTGAAATAGGATTGAGGGGCCGGGCGCGGTGGCTCAAGCTTGTAATCCCAGCACTTTGGGAGGCCGAGGCGGGTGGATCACGAGGTCGAGAGATCGAGACCATCCTGGTCAACATGGTGAAACCCCGTCTCTACTAAAAATACAAAAAATTAGCTGGGCATGGTGGCACGTGCCTGTAATCCCAGCTACTCAGGAGGCTGAGGCAGGAGAATTGCCTGAATCCAGGAGGCGGAGGTTGTGGTGAGCCGAGATCGCGCCATTGCACTCCAGCCTGGGTAACAAGAGCAAAACTCCGTCTCAAAAAAAAAAAAAAAAAAAGAAATAGGATTGAGGATTTTGGATTGTACCCATGCCAATTTTCTGCTTTTGATAATGTACTATAGTTACATAAGATGTTACCACTGAGAGAAACTGAGTGAAGGGTATATGGGATCTCTCTGTACATTTTTTTGGTAACATACAGGATCTATATTTGAAAACAGAAAGTTTATTTAAAAAGTAGACACCAAAGGCAGATGTATTTTTCATTGAAGCAAACTGTCCGTCTTGTTGGGTTTGCAGAAAAAAATAGACTGCTCTTTTTTTTAACTAGGTTGGATCCAAAGGTTCCCAACACAATTACAATCAGTCTTCCAGTAATTGTACTGTATATACTCACCAATAGTAGAGAGTATAGTTCGTGTCAGGACTGGCATTCCTTCCAGGGAGCCATGAACACTTCATGTAGCTCAGGTTGTGCCAAACACATTGAAGCTCAGTCACAGCAGACTCAGGATCGCCTAGAATATCCAGGCCAAGAGTTTAAGACTCTTTTTCCTTGTAATGCAAAGTAGCGATCACTCTTTGGCAAAGGGGATAATGGGAGTGCTTTATGTTGCTTCGTCAGAAAGTAAACTCTTCATCTCTCACCCCACTTTACCCAGAAGTCACCCAGGATGGAGAAAAACCAAATCGAATTTGTTCGCAACCTTCTCTCTTACCTCATGATACAAAGAAAACATCTTCCCTATCACTAAGGGACCCTAACTAATATCCCTTATTGAAAAGAGAGATAAAAGATCAAAAACCATTTCAATCACAGACAGTATCTACACAATTCCTAAATGAATGTGGATATACAAACAACCCTTATATATATACCTGTCTTAAAAAAATTTACTGAGGTACAACTTAAGTTTCTGTCTTTTAATCAATACTGACACATCTTTTTTTAAAATAAAGAAACAAACAAGCAAACAAACATTCAGTCTGGCAGGGTGGCTCACGTCTGTAATCCCAGCACTTTAGGAGCCCAATGTGGGTGGATCATTTGAGGTCAGGAGTTCTACAAGAGCCTGGCCAACATAGCGAAACCTCGTCTCTACTATAAATACAAAAAAATAGCCAGATATGGTGGTGCACACCTGTAGTCCCAGCTACTTGGGAGGCTGAGGCACAAGAATTGCTTAAACCATGGGGGTGGAGGTTGCCATGAAATCTTGCCACTGTACTCCAGCCTGGGTGACAGAATGAGACTCTGTCTCTAAATAAATAAATAAACATTCCTCCTGAAGCAATTCTGGGGAAAGGTAAGCCTAACTGAACTCTTAGTAGTTGCCTCTTAAGTGTCATGACTTTAGGAGCCCTAATATCTTTCTGACCTAAAATCTCTATCTTTAGTTAAGGTATAATGTCTTTAAACTAAACACTTCCGTTTAAAATGTAAACCTGTTACCCCTCATGATCCTTGAAGGGGTACTACACTAAGAAATCATCAACTATTTTATGTCACAGTATAGTATAATAATTATTTTTTTTGAGACAGAGTCTTGCCCTGTCACCCAGACTGGAGCGCAGTGGCGTGATCATGGCTCACTGCAACCTCTGCTTCCCGGGTTCAAGTGATTTTCCTGCCAAGCATGTGACACCATGTCTGGCTTTTTTTTTTTTTTTTTTTTTTTTTTTTTTTTTTTGAGAAGGAATCTTGCTGCCATGAGGAGTGCAATGGCTCGATCTCAACTCATTGCAATCTTCACCTCCTGAGTTCAAGTGATTCTGCTGCCTCAGCCTCCTGAGCAGCTGGGGTTACAGGTGCCCGCCACCACGCCTGGCTAATTTTTGTATTTTTAGTAGAGATCAGGTTTCGCCACGTTGGCCAGGCTGGTCTTGAACTCCTAGCTTCAAGTATTCCACCCGCCTCAGCCTCCCAAAGTGCTGCAATTACAGACATGAGCCACCGCAACCGGCCAGTTTTTTTGGTTGTTGTTGTTTGCTTTTTTTGAGATGGAATCTCACTCTTTCGCCCAGAATGGAATGTAGTCATGTGATCTCGGCTCATTACATGCTCTGCCTCCTGGGTTCAAGTGATCCTCCTGCCTCAGCCTCCCCAGCAGCTGGGATTACAGGCAGATGCCACCATGCCTGGCTGATGTTTGTATTTTTAGTAGGGACAGGGTTTTGCCATGTTGGCCAGGCTGGTATCAAACTCCTGACCTTAGGTGATTCGCCCGCCTCGGCCTCCCAAAGTGCTGGGATTATAGGCATGCGGCACTGTGCCCAGCCATTTTTCTTCTGTGTGAAACTCCTAAGGTAAGGAGAATAGGGCAGGTAAGTTGTTTCAAAACTCTTAGCAGTTCTGAATTTTATAATTTTACAAACAGCACTTCATATGTTTGTGATCAGTACAAAGCAGGTAAATGGAATGGCTTAGAGCACAGGCCACATAGAACTTAGGACTGGAACAAAGACATGGGGCCCAGCCATACCCAACCAAGGGACAACATAATATATGTAAATATAATGTATATAAAACATTCACTCTTTGCCAGGCACTATGCTAAGTACCTCACATATATTGACTTGTAATCATCCCAGTAATCACAGAAGATAGATACCATTATCATGCCCATTTTACAAATGAGGAAACTAAGGTGCAGAGGGGCTAAGAAATTTTGCCCAAGGTTATACAGCTAATAGCTGGCAGAGCTGGGATTTAAACTTAGACAGTTGGTTTCTGGTAGCCCTGCTCTTAATCAGTATAGGCTACTCCCCTGTATGTAACATAAGAGCCAGAAGGACATTGGGTGAGGTGGGACTGGGGAACAATGATCAACCTCACTACTTGACAGCTTTTCCTAGGGCTGTCTTGTATTATCTTGTCTAGAGTTGTATGGGCGCTAGGCCAGCATAATATTTTTCTTTTTAAACATGCTTTCCCAAATATATCCTGCATAGCAAACTAATTATCATATATAATGAATAAAATAGTATTTTGTGTTTTATTTTTAAGGCACTGGGCTTGGAATATAAAGACATACAGCAAGTTCATTTCTTCCTCATCAAATGGATCAGGGATAGTATATGCCTTATTCACTTCACAAGATAAGCTTGTAAAGCTCGATTTAAGGACGTGTGGGGTTTGTGTGTGTGTGTGTGTGTGTGTGTGTGTATGTGTGTGTGTGTATGTGCGCACAAGCACACGTGTGCTCATGTGCACGCACACACATGTGTATATCATTTTTTAAATTATTAAATTTTATATAACTATTAGGCATTGTTATTCAAGTTGTTTGTAAGCTTCTTCAAGGCAGAGACATACTCACGTTTTCATTGAGCTGGTAGCACCTAGTACAATGCCTGGCACTTATTGACTCAGAAAATGTTTGAGAATTGAATGAATTAATGAACAATGCACAAAAGAAATGGAGCACTCAGATTCATTCTCTAAACACCAAGAAATAGTGCTTTCACTTGTTACCTTCTGGGGGTGAGATGCATTTTTCAACCAAAATGCTAGGCTTCTCACTTTCATTGGTGCTACACTGGGATCCCACTTGCAGACAAATCTTCTCATTCAAGGGCACTTCTTTTGAACGATGAGTTTCTGGAGCTATTTTCTAAGGTTAGAAAATTGTAAAAGGCATTGCTTCAGCAAACACACACTTAAATAATAAAACATTAGCATGTCCAAATGTTGTTTTTGTTTTGTTTTGTTTTGTTTTTCAAAAATGTTCTCAAATGGTATAGATCAGTGATTCTCAATTGGGGGTGATTTTGTTCTCCCTGCCACTCTCAGGTACATTTGGTAATATTGAACTTTTTTTATTGTCGTAACTTGTGAGGGGGAGGCTACCAGCATCTAGTAAGCAGAGATCGAGGATGCTGCTAAACATCCTACAATGCAATACACACGACAGCCCCCTCCTCCTACGACAAACCGTTCACCAAATGTCAGTAGTGTCACCACTGAGAAACTCTGGTGCAGATGGAACAATTTCCCACATTTTAAATGTATAAACATCATGAAATTTACCTATAAACCTACAATGCTAACATATCAACTCTCTAAAAGCAATTTTAAAGGAAACACAATATGATTTTCAAAATTCACTTAGAAGTAGATGCATTGTACCATAAAAAATAAGGTAAAAAAGGAATGCATTAAGAATTCAGGAATCAAACCAGGAGCAGTGGCTCATGCCTGTAATCCCAGCACTTTGGGAGGCAGAGGCAGGTGGATCGCTTAAGCCCAGGAGTTCAAGACCAGCCTGGGCAACATGGCAAAACCCCATCTGTACAAAAAAAAAAAAAAAAAAAATTGGGCAGGCATGGTGGCTCATGCCTGTAGTCCCAGCTACTCATGAGGCTCAGGTGGGAAGATCACTTGAGCCCAGGAGGGGGAGGTTTCAGTGAGCCACGATTGCACCATTGCACTCCAGCCTGGACAATGCAATGAGATGCTGTCTGAAAAAAAAAAAAAAAAAAAAAAAAAGAGGGCCGGGCGCGGTGGCTCACGCCTGTAATCCCAGCACTTTGGGAGGCCGAGGCAGGTGGATCACAAGGTCAAGAGATCGAGACCATCCTGGTCAACATGAACATGGTGAAACCTCATCTCTACTAAAAATACAAAAAATCAGCTAGGCATGGTGGCGCATGCCTGTAATCCCAGCTACTCAGGAGGCTGAGGCAGAATTGCCTGAACCCAGGAGGCGGAGGTTGCGGTGAGCCGAGACTGCGCCATTGCACTCCAGCCTGGGTAACAAGAGCGAAACTCCATCTCAAAAAAAAAAGAGAGAGACAGAGAGAGAGAGAGAGAGAGAGAGAGAGAGAGAGAGAGAGAGAGAGAGAGAGAAGGAAGGAGAAGAAAAGAAAAGAAAAGAAAAGAAAAGAAAAGAAAAGAAAAGAAAAAAAGAAAAGAAAAGAATCCAGTAATCGTGGTTACTTCTGGGTAAGGAAATAAAGGAGGGGGGCCTGAGAGATTTTCCATTAAACCTCTTTCTCTACTGTTTGACTATTTTGACTGTCTCATATACATGTATAAATTTCAAGCATTGCTATATGTTCTGAGTATATACACTCTCATTCTGAAAAGTAGATAAGCTTTGTGGAGCCACAGAAAGCCAATTTATACACACCATAGAGACAAATCACCAATCTGGTTACTATGACTTAGAATAATGAGATTAATGGGCTCTCTGGGAAATTAACATTTCCCAAATTGACATAGTTGGAATAATTAAGAATGGAGCTGCTTTTAATCAGAGCTCCAAGGAGAGTGCTTCCTGTTTTGCAATAGTTTCTAACTCAAGTTAGAGGTAGTACTTCCTTTCATCTACGTGTTGACGGCCATGAAGGGGAAAATTTGCCACAGTTAGTTCTATCTACTACCCTAAGGAACTATGCTTCCATGTCACATGCCTGCTGCCAGCTGAGCATGAGGGCAACTGTTGAGATACCCACAAAATCAGGACATATGGATGGCCTGTGAGAATTAGTTAGCAAGTCAACAATGAATAAATCATAGCAAGGACACAAAAACAAAATCACTTTATAGAGCCAGAATAGCTTAGGTCCCATCAAGACAGCACTCTAAAAAGGGAGTTGGTCAGCCCTGGAAGAACAGAAAAAGAAATGTCTGCCAGCAAAATCCTGACAGGGAGGAAAAAGAGGGTGATATAGGAATGTGGACATTGAATTTTTCTGTCCCACTAGCAAAGATGTTTACCCTCAGTCGGGCCTCCAGCTATTATTCTTAGACAAGTACATTTTTACAACTAATTCCCGATTCCTCGCCAAGAAACCTACTTAACATTTGGCTTCCCATACAGGCTCTGGCTACTGGGATGAAATGCACCAGTTATGCCAACAGAAATCTTCCTAGAATGCTTCACCATTACTATTTTCACAACAAAGTAAAAAATTAGCCCTTGAGAGACGCTTGTGTGCTGAAAATGAGGTTTCTGAGTATGTGAAGCTGAAGACCTGCCTCCAGGATCATGGTTAACAGTGGTGGGAAGGCTTTGAATACAAATGTTACCAACCTCACAATTTTACTAAGCACAAGTCCTATATATCTCTGAAGGAGCCACCCTTATCCAAGGATCCTTGGCAATTCTTGTTTGGAAGCTATATTTTCCCTTTGAAGACACCAGGGGAAAATGTACAGTCAAATGGCAAATTAGACTGTACAAATGCAGCCAAATTAGAATCATCATGAAAAAAAATCCCAGTTTTCTTATTGTTATAGACATTGTTCTAGTTAGAGGGCTATGGAGTTTTCGTATACAGAAATTATCACAATGCTATTTTTAATTTAAAAAATGCCTTAGTGGTCAGGCATGGTGGGTCACGCCTATAATCCCAGCACTTTGGGAGGCCAAGGCCACCTCAGGTCAGGATCACCTGAGATCAGGAGTTTGAGACCAGCTTGGCCAACATGGCAAAACCCTGTCTCTACTAAAAGTACAAAAAAAAAAAAAAAAAAAAAAGCTGGGTGTGGTGGCATGCACCTGTAGTTCTAGCTATTTGGGAGGCTGAGGCACAAGAATCACTTAAACTCAGGAGGCAGAAGTTGCAGTGAGCCAATATTGCACCAGTGCACTCCAGCCTGGGTGACAAAGCAGACTCCATCTCAAAACAATATAATAAACTAAAATAACATAAAAGATAAAAAATGCCTTAGTATCTAAATCTGAACCTTATGCTTTAGGCATATGAATAATAACGTAACTTAGAAAAGGAACACCAGAGGGAAAGATTTTACAAATAAAAATTTTTTAAAAATATCTTTCAAAGTTCAAGGTAATATTAAACTGGCACTAATAAAGTAGGAATAAAGTTTAATATTCAAGAATATTAAACTGGCACTAATAAAGTAGGAACCCAGATTATCAACAGCTGCCAAGTCAAGCACATCTCTCTGCATCACTCAAGAAACTAAATTCCTTGCATCAGATCTTTTTTTCTTTCTCTCTTTTTTTTTTTTTTTTTTTTTGAGACAGAGTCTTGCTCTGTTGCCCAGGCTGGAGTGCAGTGGCATGATCTCAGCTCACTAAAACCACCACCTCCCAGGTTCAAGTGATTCTCCTACCCCAGCCTCCTGAGTAGCTGAGATTACAGGTACACACCACCATGCCCGGCTAATTTTTGTATTTTTTGTAGATACAGGGTTTCACCATGTTGGCCAGGCTGGTCTTGAACTCCTGACCTCATGTGATCAGCCCACCTCAGCCTCCCAAAGTGCTGGGATTACAGGTGTGAGCCACTGCACCCAGATCTTGAGGCATGTGTGATGGCTCCCATGCGACTTTTGGCTTTGGTGAATCATCCTCACTGTTGGCTGCTGTATGATGTTATACTCCCCAGGGAATCTGGTTCCCTTTGGAAATTTATCAAAAACCAAGGCAAGAGTCCTGAACTGATCTCCCCAAACCAATGTTCACTTGGCTGGAGTGCACCTTTCTCAACCCCAGAATTCCTTTCTCAGAAAGAAAGGGACTTAGCTTCAGCATCTGCCTATTTGGATGCCTGGCCTTTTGATTAGTTCTCCTAATGGGACTTGCCTATCTCTTAGTGATAAAAGATATATAAAGTCTGACACCGGATCCTTCTTCTACGTCCAGCTGAGGAACTATTAGACATTGCTTTAAAAATGGTGCCAGGCAGCCATTTACACTAATCTTTTCTTTTCCAAAAATCATCTGCAAATCCCCATCCCTCATCTTGATGAGCCTCCAATCTTAAGATCGAAAATGACCTCAAGAGTTTATCTCATTTAGCAACTTGGGACCTTTGAACATTTTCATAAGCCCTTTAATGTATAAACTATCATAATACCATTTCTTCAATATGCTTCAGGGATAAATACACCTCAATTTGGCCCGGTGATGCTAACTAATGCTGTACCCGAAGGACAGAAAGAGGAGAGGAAAATTACTTCTGCCATTCATTTTCAGCCTCAGGATGATAAACTTCAAAAGGTCCAGACAGGACATCTCCTATCATTGATTGGAAGGAATAATCCATGTTTATCACAACTGCAGGAATGATGACCATCAATGCTATCAAATGGCTAAAATAAATGAGCTGGCTTTAGGCAGAGGTCTCCCTTTTTGGTCTCTATCTAGTTTCTTCAGGGGCAAAATGGAAGAAACAAGATTAAATGATAACATTAGGCTGAACCAAATAATACTGAAAACGTTCAAATATTTTGACCCGTAAAAGTGATAATTTCACATGGCTCAACCTAACAACGGTAATAATAATAAAAGCTAACAATTACCTAGCACTAACTCTGTGTCGGTGCATTACAAACCTCATCTCCTTTAATGCACAGGCCATCCATATTCAGTAGATACTATTATTACCCCCCAACACACCCATATTTTACAAACAAGAAAATGGGAGCTCAGAGAGGTTAAGTCATTTGCCCAAAATCAAACAGCTTGAAAGGGGAAGAGAGAAAATTTCACACACAATTCTAACTGATTCCACTGCTTCCTACAGTTACATTTAACTCTGAATTTCTGTACGTACACTGAGGAAATAGGCCGATTTCTGGGCTAGAATACCAGCCTGGCTACCTGATTAATCCTTGACAGCTTAAGGAAAAGGGATGTGAAAAGTAATCTCTCTTTAGGGTTTCAGTTAGACACTTAGGTGATTATAGGGTTTACAGCCAGAGGCACTTAGGGTCTTAGAAATTCAGTGAATGAATTTCTCAAGGCACAATTACCAAAAATCACCACTAAGACTCCAAATGCCTAAGGCTCTTCCTTAGGAGGAACAAGATGAAGCCAACAATATGTAAAGGCAAACTCCAATCTCACTGCTAGTAGTATCAGTGGCTTCCACATTTAGAAGACCTCTTTTAAAATGTAAATATTTCTGACAAGCCTCAATTCTTTATCAATTAATGCCTAAACCCTAAGTAACACCTCAGCAGGACAAGGGAGAGGAAGGCAGATTCGCAAATTTCCCTCCAGAGGAAGAGCATGTTCCATCCTGACTATTAAACTTTTATAGACATTATTTTCTGTGTCCCAGAATGCCAGGGAAGTGAGTAAAGCCATTATTTTATACACAGGAAACAAAGGCTCAGAGAGGTTAAACAATTTATCCCAGACCATAGAGTCAGCTAAGAGTGACAGTGCCAATCAGAAGCTAGTTCTCGGCTGGGCGCGGTGGCTCAAGCCTGTAATCCCAGCACTTTGGGAAGCCGAGGTGGGTGGATCACGAGGTCAAGAGATCGAGAACATCCTGGTCAACATGGTGAAAACTCGTCTCTAGTAAAAATACAAAAAATTAGCTGGGCATGGTGGCGCGTGCCTGTAATCCCAGCTACTCAGGAGGCTGAGGCAGGAGAATTGCCTGAACCCAGGAGGCGGAGGTTGTGGTGAGCCGAGCCTGCGCCATTGCACTCCAGCCTGGGTAACAAGAGCGAAACTCTGTCTCAAAAAAAAAAAAAAGAAAAAGAAAAAAAAAAAAAAAAGAAGCTAGTTCTCCTGGCTCTTTCTGCCGCCAAAGCTGCCTGAACTTGGTGCTTTTACAATTCACTGATGCAAAGCACTGTCACTAATAACTTCTCATTCTGCCTACTCAAAATCCTGGACAAATTCAATCCCAAACACCCAAGCCCCTTGCCGCTGCTGGCAGCCTGCAACAAACACACACATACTGAAAGAATGTATAAAAAGATAAAAAGCAGTTGCATAAGATTATCATAAAGACCCTGAAATTATCCATACCTACTAACAAAAATTCACTTATATCAGTTGACTAGAAATCTTAAAAGTCTTCCTCATTTTTCCTCGGGCATTAGGGAACCCTCTACTCAAGCACACCTGCCACTGACATTTTTTCACTTTCCACATGGCCATTTATTTTTACACCACATAGTGCTTGTATATCTATTTGTCCATGTGATTAGCAAGATGGTAAATGTAAAAATTCCCTGAAAAATTAAGTGTTATATAGATACACGGTGATACAGCTACAGGCAGGAACATAGGAACAAATTTAACAATAACGTAATTATTTATTGAGTACCTAAGAGAAAAATATATCTAGTATTTTCTGTCAGAGCAATCTCAATTGCGTTTAATTATCAAATAATTAGCAAATATTTTTAAGTGTTCACTTGTCTCAATCGTTGCTTCTATAATTTCCCCAATTGAAATTTAAACACACCCCAAAATACAATTTTCACTTTGATGTAAGATTAGAATTTGGCTTATTCTTGGCTCCAACTCACAGTGTTCACTTTACCTCATCAATATAACATGTTGCAGAAAACTTACCTTATCCTGCTTGTCGCCAAAATGACTAAAATACCATAGACTACAATTTGGGCTGGCTCCCTCTGGTGGATTCCACGTCCATACTACTGTGCAGAGGTTTTCAACAGAGACACTCAAATTTGTCACAGGTGGTTGAGTTTCTGTTCAAATCAAGCACACACACACAAAACCCAAATTTATCAACAGTATTTTTCATGGTTCGCTTAATTCTCCCAAGTCCTGGAAGGCAAGATAATAATAGCTGAGTTAACAATACCTAACATTTACTGGGCCAGGGACTATTCTAAATATTCCACACATATTAATCCATTTAACCCTCACAACAATCTTTGAGATAGGGACTAGTATTAGCCTCATGTTTCTGTTTTTGTTGTTGTTATCTGAGACAGAGTCTCACTCTGTAGCCCAGGCTGGAGTGCAGTGGCATGATCTCAGCTCACTGTAGCCTCTGCCTCCCAGGTTAAAGTGATTCATTCACCTAGCCTATTACTGGGACTACAGGTTCATGCCACCATGTCTGGTTAATTTTTGTAATTTTAGTAGAGATGGGGTTTTGTCATGCTGGCCAGACTGGTCTCGAACTCCTGAGCTCAAGTAATCCGCCCACCTCAGCCTCCCAAAGTGCTGGGATTACAGGCATGAGTTATCATACCTGGCCTATTAGCCTCATGTTACAGATGAGGCAACTGAGGCAATAGGCAGATTAAGTCATTTGTCCCATATCCCATGGCTACAGTAAATGACAGAGCTGGGACTGTAACTTGAAAAGTGTGGCTCCAAGGTCACATTCTTAACCACTTTCATAGAGAAGACTGATATTCTTAAATACTAGTATTTCCAAATTGTTCTCTTCCAGCAATTTGGGGTTCCCTAACCTTGGGATCCACACCCTACTCAATACATTCTGTTCAGGCTGGGCACGGTGGCTCACACCTGTAATCCCAGCTCACTGGGAGGCCAAGTGGTTTGAGCCCAGAAGTTTGAGACCAGCCCGGGCAACATGGCAAAACCCTGTCTATACAAAAAAGTTACAAAAGTTAGCCAAGCATGCTGGTATGTGCCTATAGTCCCAGCTACAGGGGGGTTGAAGCAAAAGGATCACTTGAGCCTGGGAGTTTGAGGCTGCAGTGTGCCAAGATCATGCCACTACTGCACTCCAGCCTGGGTGACAGAGCAAGACCCTGTCTCAAAAGCAATGACAACAACAACAAAACAGCTTGTTCAAAATCTCAGCAGTTCTGTAAGTTTAAGAAGCTCATCTTTAATTCTGCTTGCTAACATGACCTGGTAATTGGTTTTTTATAGCTTTTTTTCCAAAGAAGTACTGAGAAAGAGATTTAGCAGCTTTTGTTCCCCTGAGGTCTGACACTAAACAGCTGGAGCTAGAGCTTGACTAATCTGAAGAGGGAAGAGAAAGAGGAGGAACTGTGAAACATCATTTTAAACTTTCCTGAGAACTCCTGAGACCAAGACTACCAAAATCATCACCCAGAAACTGGGTGAGGGTTATAAAGGAACCCTCTCTGTCCTACCTTTGCAACTTTTCTGTAAATCAAAAATTATTTCAACATAGAAGTTTATTAAAGGTATTAGAAAATAATTCCCCTACATGTTGTAATGTGATGAACAGAATAATTATTAATTACTTAAGGATTATAGTAATAGTAATTTACCAAATGATAGAGTTAAATCTTATACTCTATGCTAATACTTTGGAATGCACTGGGCCTGTTACATAATCAGTGATATTTATACTGTTACCTTCCTCTCTAACTGAGCAAAAAATTCCATTTGTCCCAAAACATCAAACTCACAGGCACTATATAGTTGAGGTTTCTCTAATAGTCAATTTTATACATAGCAGCTACTTGGTCAGCAGTCTACAAAGGCCCTTGACCCTCAATATTCATTCCCTGGTGATTATTTAAAAGTCTGAAAACAACAGATGTTAGCAAGGCTGTGGAGAAAAGGGAATGCTTATACCCTATTGGTGGGAATGCAAACTAGTTCCACCACTGCGGAAAGCAGTTTAGAAATTTCTCAAAGAACTTAAAATAGGCCAGGCACAGTGGCTCATGCCTATAATCTCAGCACTTTGGGAGGCTGAAGTGGGCGGATCACGTGAGATCACTAGTTTGAGACCAGCCTGGCCAACGTAACGAAACCCCATCTCTACTAAAAATACAAAAATTATCTGGGCGTGGTGGTGTGCACCTGTAATCCCAGAAACTCAGGAGGCTGTAGCATGAAAAGCACTTGAACTCGGGGGTGGAATTTGCAGTGAACCGAGATCACACCACTGCACCCCAGCCTGGGCAACAGGGCAAGACTCTGTCTCAAAAACTAAATAAACAAATAAAAGAACTTAAAACAGAACTACCATTCAACCCAACATTTCCATTACTTGATATATACCCAAAGGAAAATAACTCATTCTATCAAAAAGGCACATGCACCTATATGTTCACTGCAGCACTATTCACAAAAGCAAGGACATAGAATTAACCTAAGTGCCCACCAACAGCGAACTGCAGCACTATTCACAAAAGCAAGGACACAGAATTAACCTAAGTGCCCACCAACAGAGCAAGACTAGGTCTCAAAAACATTGGATAAAGATAATGTGGCACATATACACCCTGGAATACTATGCATCCATAAAACGATGAAACCATGCCCTGTGCAGCAACATGGGTGGAGTTGGAGGCCTTTATCCCAAGTGACTTAATGCAAGAATAGAAAACCAAATACCGCATGTTCTCACTTATAAGTGGGTGTTAATCATTGAATACACATCATCATAAAGATGGGAATGACAGACACTGGGGATCACTAGACAGGGGAAGTAGGGAGGTGGGTGTGGGGGCCAAAAAACCACCTGTTGGGTACTATGGTTACAGCCTAAGTGATCGGATCATTGGGACCCCAAGCCTCAGCATCATGCAGTTTATCCATGAAGCAAATCTGCCCATATACCCTTTAATCAATAATAAAATTGGAAATCAAAAACAGTTCATTCCCTCTTCTAACACTACCATCAATAGCTTTTCCCAAGGTCCAACTGTGGGAAGGAGCAGCCCACAGCAGGACAAGGCCCTGTGGAAGCAAATAATTCCTGTTGCACTGCATTAAAATTCAGCTAGTTCCAGGTAGCACCAATGGCTTAGGCAACAGTGCTATTGTTAGGATTTTAAGTGATTAAAAGAATGTATGGCTATTCCATTTTGGCGTTTCTAATACCATATCAATGATATTTTTGAAGACAAATCATTTGTCAGGTAGAGAGCCTCTAATAAAAGCATTGTTCCTACAGGAGACTACAATTTACTGTAGGATTATCTGCCTTATTCTGCAGTTTCCAGAAACACATCCAAGATACCTAGTTTAGCATTTCCAGTGCCTAGTTTAGCATTTCCAGTACTTTCCTCACCGACCTACCTCCTACCCCCATACAAATATTAAAGCCCTGATAATTAAAATATAGCTATTTGTGGTTCACTTCAATTGTACTCCAATTTTCAAGGTAATTTAAGACCTTTTAAAACCTACTTTAATCTCAGTTTTGAAATAAAATAATAGCCTGCCCTATATTCAGTCTTTCAGATGGGATTAATATTTTCCCATCTGTTCTGAAGTATCCTTTTGGTCAGATCTTCTAACTGGTTTGCATTTTGGGCTTCGTGGGGTCTATCTACCATGCTTTTTCTCTTCTGGTTCCCTCCGTATCTCTTGATTTTTCTACTTCCTACACTTTAAACACCCAAGCATGGATTCCGGGAATATGGCAAGAGCAGGAAGCATCAGATATCTATCTCCTCACCTAGATAACAATGGTAGCGGCATAATCTGTTAGATGTAACAATTTTGGAAGACTCCAGAGTTATATTAGGAAACACTTATACTGAAGGCCTGCAATTTCCAAGGAAAGGCTTGAACCGCAAATTGCAATAAATTTCTATCAATGTCAGCTTTTACATAGTAGTAGCTGCACATCCTTCATCCCCAACCCCATGGCAGGCAACTGTGCACATGTTCCTGGAACAATCTGCACATAGCTTGTGGGCTATGTGGGCAAAAGGACTCTGTCTATCAAACGTCGGGGATCTGTACTCTGATTACTGATTGCTGCTTCTGATCACAGAGGTACAGACAAAGAGGCTGGCAGCCATTGTGGTCGCACCTATCCTCATCGTTGCAAGCCCCTCCCTATCTAGCTGAAGTGATTTCCAGAAGATATGAAAGAATTGTGGTCTTCCCATGCCACCTCATTTTTCTTCTTTTCCACGTTTGGGAGCCAGGAATTAAAGATTAGAACATTCCAAAACAACTACAGAAGCAAGGTGGCTCATGCGTACAATCCCATCACTTTGGTACGCCAAGGCAGGAGGATTACTTGAGGCCAGGAGACAAAGACCAGCCCTGGCAACATAGCAAGATCCCATCTCTACCAAAACAATTTTTTGTTGTTGTTGTTTAAATTAGCTAGGTGTGGTGGCATGAGTTTCTAGTTGCAGCTCCTCAGGAGACTGAAGAAGGAGAATCACTTGAGCCCAGGGATTTGAGGTTACAGTGAGCTGTGATCACACGATTGCACTCTAGCCTGGGCAACAGAGTGAGACTAGGTCTCAAAAACAAAACAAAACAAAACAAAATGAAACAAAACTATATATACAGCGAAAAATAGAAAGCGACCACACATGCTCAGGGAAAGCCCAGAAAAAAACCTGAGAAGACTTTAAGTTTGTACTTCAGGTTGACCTTCAACACAGAGACAGCCTACAACAATAAAAAAAATAAATAAATAAAAACAATAAACAAAACAATACAAAAAACAGCAAACCTGGGGGAAGGGGACAATCTGGTTTCCAGAGAAACCAGATTTAAATGACCAGTTTTTAACAAAAAAATCACAAGGCAGACAAAAAAACAGGAAACTATGGCCCATTCAAAGAAAAAAAGTTAATCAACAGCAAACCTGTCCCTGAAAAAGACCTGATGGCAAATACATTAAAGAAAGATTCTGAAATAAATATCTTCAGACGTTCACAGAACTAAAGGAAGATTTGGAGAAAGTCAAGAAAATGATATGTAAGCAATATCAAAATATCAATACAGAGATAGAAAACCTAGAAAGAGACCA